TATACTAAAGGATGTTGTAAATATTGCAATGTTACTATAGAAGCAATGAGTAAGTTTAATATTTTTACAATATTATACCGTTGAACTAAAGTTCTTCTCACCTATACTTCTCATCATTTAAACATTCAACATCGCAAAATCAATAGTGTGGACAACTTAGATCATATATACCGTATGATCGAGAAAAAACGGCGTCAGCGATGGCTATGGAATGAAGATCGCTGTCATTTTATATGTAAATTTATATGGGAAATGTCATTGATGTTCATTTCCCAGCCAACTGGACGCCGTTTTTTTTCGATCATACGGTACTTACGTGGATAAATCATCGCCATAAGTTTAGCATTAAAAAATATGTTTCCAACATTACGACATGCCATTTTCAAACCTTCTTTATTGCACTTATGAAACGTTCAATAGGTTTGTCTTTTTCGAGGACCTTACTTTGCGCATGCGCATTAAAAGTTGCACGTATTTCCAAAATAATCACAATTTTATGCGGTTTAGAAAGTACAAATTATACATTGTTATGGAAACCAACTTTTCATTGTTATCATCATATTATCATAATCTTGTCATAATCGTATGTCATAATCTTATTTCCATTGTGTAATTTTATAAAATATTTTTTATATAATTTAATATTTGTGACAGTAAACATTCAATTTATTGATGGAGAAAAATCTCCGAAACCGGTCGTCGAATGGCTGTTCCCTTCGGTCTGATGAACTTAATGCAGAGAATAAGCATATATGTAGGGTTTTTTTAGCCCCTTTTTCCGCTACTTGTATTTTTGTTCATTTATTATATATACCCTACCTAAGCCTTCTTAGCTCCATCTACGGTAACGTGGATGAAGCAAGCATATTCAATTTAATGTTCAAATATATGCATTTTACAAATTAAATTTTTAAAATTAATGTTCAAATTTGGCGCGTGGACGCTAGGTCCTCGACAAGGATAGATAGAGTAGAAACACCGCGTGTGCAACAAAAAAAGAAGATAAATTGAAGTCGTTGATATGTTTGCGACAATTTCCATAGCGATTTACTTATCCACGAGTTATATATATGATCTAGGTTGTACAATGATCATTCAATGTTATGCCATCATCATTTATCTAATATCAATAATTTTAAGGTATGTCTGAGATCAGTTTATAATTTCCAATTTCTGTCTACGAACTTCCGCTAAGTTCCAATTTTATTAATTTTAAGTAATCATATTTAACCTTTATTTAAATATGAGAAAAAATATTTTCTATACGGTATAATATAATTATATTTGTTAAACATTATTTCAGCTCTGTGCAGTCCACAACCGATGCCTCTCAAAAAAACTGTAGGAATGATCGAAGTATCACGTGAAGGTCGCAAATGTGTGAACAAACACGCGCTAAACGATTTTACCGAATGTATCGGAACGTGTCATTCCTCCACATACTTTAACATCAGTAAGTCTATCTTCGTTCAATTTCACTGATTAAGTGATTATTTTGACGCGGTTTTCGCGCAATCAGATGTTATATTTTTAATAAAAACTCTAATTTTATATATCCTTTATACAGAGACAGGTCTGCACGAATCAGTATGTTCCTGTTGCCAAGCAACGGACTATCAGTCGTTAGAAATAGAATTAGACTGCGACGATGGTTCGAAGTTCAAGAAAAAAGTAGCCGTTCCGTCAAAATGCAGTTGTGTAGCTTGTGGAGAAAAATCTCCTTATACACCTCAGTAAGACATACCTATCGCTCTATATACTACTAAGTTCCAAGTGATATTAACCGTAAGTTGTATATAACTGTATATTTTCTTTGTTATATAACTGTATGCATAAAGTCAAATATATTTTGCTAACAAGTTATTTTTTTTTTGTTTAAATAAAGCTATTTTTTCAATTTTCCATGTCTGTTAAGGTAGATTTTCATATATCCATCATCCGTTGATACGATGACATGACAATGACCATTGATGATGTTTTGACAACCTGAAGGGTCTAGAGGAATAACTTGATCAGCGCCAATTTCTTAATTTTAGGATTTTACAATATTATAGTAGCTCTAACTGGTCCCTACAAAATGTATAAACTCTGCAGGACAATAAGTTGCTAAATCCTATGATATATGCCTAGTAAAAATATAGGATACATTGTAAAGAACTTGATAACCACCAGCCGTCCAGTGCTCTCACTGTAAAATTAAGTAAAATGGCGCTTATCATGTTTTCCCTGGACCCTTCAACTGTCATAATCTAATAATGGCTTTAGCTGTCAAATTTTGGGCATTTAAATATTATTTAACGCATTTTTATCAAATGGAAACCTACTTTCTCTTTTCACTTTATATACAATTTTCCAATTAAAAAGACTTTTTAAAAATAACTGTTCCTATACCAGAAAATTACTGCTGTGTCAACTGCTTCCAAGGCAAGGTTCATTATTAAAAAATTCTACATACCCAATTCATTTTAATTCACTGATAAATTGTATTATCTGTCATTTTTTGGATGTCATCTGTCAAAAACTTCCCTGACTCATTGGACAGCTATAAAAAGTATCATGATAGTAATTTCAAAAGCTACCGTAACGCCGTTTTTGTATCATTGGTTACTTTGCTAACTAATATAAATAAAAAAAAATAACTATTTCATATCTTTCCTTTATTAACCTCATCTTTGGTAAAAAAACTATTTTCTGTATACCTACAATCTTCGAATAATAAATAATAACACTTAGGAAAATCTGTCTTGGTTTTTAATACTGTATAATCACTAAAGTAAAAAAAATATTTATACAGTTTCCATGACGGTTTTTTTTGCTGTACGTGTAAACTTTCAAATAAAAACAACACATATAAAATACAAAACAACTCGAAATAAGTAACAACGGAGCTTATTGCTTTGCGATTGTAAAACCATACGCTTTGAAAAAAAGAAATACAAAAAAATGCTTTAAGAGTTTTGGTTCGAACAAATGCAACATGAACGCCCATATTGGAAAAGAATAAGTTAAATATATACCGGGTGCGTCTGAAAAGTGAACCCCCAATAATTTTTTTAATTTTTCAGATAAAAAAACGAGATTGGTACGTTAGTATATGACATAAATTAGGATTGATTGACGTATTCAATTGCTTTTGGTCACTTCCTGTTTTACCGGAAATTACTACAACTTTTGATTTTTAAATGGCACCCTCTGTATTTTTTTACTTTACTCGATAGGAAATGACACTCTGAATAGAATGACATATTTATCATATGCCAACTTTTGACATTTTTGCTTAAAAAATCGTATTTTAAATTTCAATCTAGAGAGCCATGGGTGTGTTAAAAACACTAATTTTTAATCAAGGAGCCGTGGAAAAATAGATTTGATCGTCTAAAAGTTTTTGGTGTCTTGTACGGGCCGGTTAAAAGATGCCCAAATTGTATTTTTAATCATATCTCAATATTTTCAAATGGCACAAGCGTGGCTCATTAGCATATTCGAAAAAAGTATTTTTTTACGAATAATTTGGTACCACACACTTGGTATTTCGAGTCAAGTTGTCGTTATGAACTGCATGTTACAATTTCAAATAAACCATATTCGAAAATGTCAAAAGCTGACACATGCTATGTCATTTCACTCAGAGTGTCATTTTCTATGGAATAAAGTAAAAAAATAAAGTGGGTGTCATTTAAAAATGACCAAAACCAATTGAATACGTCAATCAATCCTAATTTATTCATTCATTAGTCATTTACTAACATACAATATCTCGTTTAGGAGTGAGCCACTTTTGAGACGCACCCGGTATACAGCAAAACAAAGATAAATAAACGAATCCGTGAAGATTTTTTTCAGCTTAACTGTGAATATAAGTAAAATCAAACTTTTTTCTTTGACTGAGTGCGTTGGTAACTCGTTTTTTTTAACGCGTAAAAAAACGTTAATCAACTAAAAAATAACAAGTACTTTATCACATTCGTTGTTACGTCTTTTTTATAGATTTGTCCGCTTATTTTTAATAAAAATAAATATGTACAATTACGTTTCGTGTTTGGTGACTTTCGCCTCTTCAGTCTTCCAATGTTGCATTGTTCTCCTCGCCGATCAGCGTGTACAGGTTCTCGATGTACAGCGTTCTGGCGCAGTTGATTTGCTGCGCGGTAGTAACGGCCGTTTCTGCGGTGTTGCAGCGCACCTTCGGCCTTTTGATCGGGTCGGGATTCAAAACCGCAGCGTTCAGACCTGCGTGGTGCATCACTATTTCTATGTAGTACTTGGTCTCGTTCTTTTCGGAGTCTTTGATCACGTTACAGGATTCTAGGTCGCTAAAATTGTCAAAAGATAAGAAATTTATCAAAATCTTCTTGATTTTCATTTTAGTAACGATAAAACCACAGAAGGACTAGAAAGAACACAACAATATATGATGTAACGTTGAACGATGGTTCTACAGACTATATCAATTAATATGAATTTAATCTTTGTACAGGGTGGTCCGAACTGTATTCCGGAAACTTGGGCAGCATATTCTGCAGATAAAAATAAGTAAATAAGTTCATATAAATGTATGTTCTAAAATGCTTAGTTTCGGAGATACAGGGTGTAGAAGTTTCATTTTTATTTCGATTTTTTCCAAATAATTTCTGAAGTTATGTCAATATTTGGATGAAAATTGATGTCTGGGAGTTTTTTGACATGAGAAATTTGATTTTGATGTCAATATGAGTCTTACTTGTAGAGGGCGCCACCTACATGTGTTTTAACTGTTTTAAAGAGCAATAAATTTCGTTTGTACCTGTATAAAACTACTGAGTGAAAAAATATACATTTCCGTGACTTTTTACGTAAAAAAATGTCTCTTGGTAAAAATCGCTACGAGCAACCGTTCTCAAGATATTTAGAATGGAAACAGTCAATACATATCATTATTGACAAAAAATAAACTCGTTGAATAGATAGTTATTTGACCGAAATAATAAATTTGGGAAATTTTAATTTTTTTAAATTCATCATAAATTTTTCTAAGAAAAAATGATGATAAAACAGTTTCTGTTGAACTTTGGCGCAAAAACATTTCAAATTTATGATTTCAGTTTAATAACTATTTTCAACATTATTAATTTATGTCAAAGATGACAGGTATTGATAATTTCGATTCCAAATATCTCAAGAACCATTACTCGTAGTGATTTTTACCAAGAGACCTTTTTTACGTAAAAAAACGTCGTAAATGTATTTTTTTTTGCTCAGTCGTTTTATACAGGTACGTACGAAAAGTTATTACTCTTCGAACCAGTTAAAAAATATGTAGGTGGCGCCCTCTACAAGTAGGAGTCATATTGACATCAAAATATTGACGTTACTTCATAAATTATTTGGAAAAAATTAAACTTCTACATCCTGTATTTCCAAAACTAAGCATTCTAGAACATACATTTATACGAAAGTATTTTTATCTGCAGAATATGCTGCCGAAGATTCCGGAATACAGTTCGGACCACCCTGTATTACAATAAACTGTAATAAATTTACATAATCCTGGACAGAGAGTTTGAGAAAATCTTACCTTAAATGACACGGTATGATGGTGGTTAGATCTGGTGGTCCAGTCACTATTCTAACCATTTTATCTGACACTATACAAAGCAGATCTTCTGGTCCGCTGCGAAGCACTTGGTAAGCTAACAATTTCTCTTCATAATTTCTAAAAAAAATATATTTCAATCATGAACA